TGGACTTAGAGCAGCCACAGAGATAAATATCCAATTAGGGGCAAGGAGTTCAGTGGATCAGGTGTAAGAAACCCCAGGGCAGCCCCAGAACACCTTGGAGAGATTATGAATCTCAGCTGCCCTGGGATTCCTTGGGATTCCCTAAGTGGAAGTGAAAGAGCTGGTTGGTGAAAAGGTCTGGGCAACCCTGCTTGGACTGCTGCCCCCATGACCTGCCCCCAGATAAATGGCAAATAACGGATGAATGGATGCATACATGCATGCATGGATGCTTGCATGCATGCATGCATGGACAATCAGACTGATTTTCAGGGTAAAGCAGAACATAAGGAAAGCATTCATGAGAGATGTTGCTGGTCAATATGACTTCAGGATTATGCAACCTGCCCCCTTTCCCCAAAGCTTGAGCAAATTCCACACAACAGAGCTCAAGGAGTTTTTATGTGCTTGTTATAATAATCCTTTTGAGAGAATAAATAAACTGGTAAATGGGTACCTGAATAGTCAAGACTACCTCAGGTGAACTGTTGTTTGCATCATTCAAATGGGATGCACACATGCTATTGTGAAAAAAATGAAGAATTTCTTCAAATTATGGGGCATGACTGGTGTTTCAAAGTGCTGTGAAGGTCCCATCACAGAAGTAATTATTGCTTACGATATACCGAGAGAGATTACCTGCCATTCCAACAGTCAGGCAGAAGGAAACCCAAGACAGGCAAAGCATCAATTTCACAATAGAAGTTAACGTCTCAGAAAGAAATGTGATGGATTTCAAGAGGCTTTAGCACAGTGTCATCCTCTAATGATTGAACATAACAAATCATGACACCCCCCCATGCAGACTAACCAAAAAGCTCAAAACATCAACAGTGAACTATGCCTCCAGTGTTCACTCTGATATGTTTGACAGCAGATCTTTGATGTGACGGACAAACCAGGGACCCAAGAATCTTTGAAGGTGTACTGTATAGGGGGGTGGGGGCAGTTCAGTTTCCTCTGGATACATGCAGCTGCTGCTGGTGTTTACGGGCACTTATTGAGTAGCCAAGGGGACTTCTTCCTGGATTAGAAGCCCAGAAAAAAAGCTGTAATGGGGGTGGGTAACAGAGGGTTAGCATCAGATGTAGCCCCAACTGTTAGCTTAGGAGTGCAGGAGAGGATCAAGCAAGGCTGTCCAAAGTATAAATAAACAGAACGCGATACCTCTGCACATAGCTGGACTCACCATGATTACTTAAATAGCCGTAGCCATGTTCATGTTAACCCACTCCCGGAATAGAGCAAGAGATGTTTCCTTGCAGCCCTTTCAATGTAAGGGACACAGAATAAGAGGCAATTAAGGCATGGCTAACACCACCAGCAGAATAAACAATGAAACCACTAAAGGCCTGCCTAAAGAGACAATTTGTCAGGAGACCTTCCCATCATGAAGCATGTGGGAAAATCTGATCTTGTTTTGCTAGTAGATTGAATTAACCCTCTGATTCCTCCTTTCTCCCTCTCCCACTTCATTGGCAGCTGAGTTTATTTTCAGAAAGGCAACCCTGGCACAGGCACACAAGGTGTTCTTCAGCATGGAAGGAGGTGGTCTCTGAAGATAGCAAGGTCAATTTCTTGACGTCTATGGGGAGGATGTGAATTTCACTTCCCATGCAGAAGGGTACATAGTCTACAATGAAGAAAATCACAGCCCTCACAATCACAGCCAACTGTTATGTAGCAAGATATAGCTGAGGGTTAGCAAGGAAACGAACGAAGTGAGATGGTTACTGAAGCCCAGTTCAAGCTTCTCAGTATGAGAACTCTGAGGATAGAGACATTATAAACATACAGTCCTGTTCCAGGTTCAGCAATTATCTGGCAAGGGCATGTGTGCTGGCATGTACTGTGTAATTAATGGAGAAACCCAAAAACAGGGATTTTTTATACTTTGTGGTACCCATGGATTGGTTTTCAGGTTTGTCAGGATCCCACATGGCCAAAGCTTCTCACATGTCCTTAAATACATAGCGTCCCCTTATAGCTTCCATTACTTTCCCCATTTCTTTGTTACCAGACTTCTCAAGGAATCTCGACATTCTGCTATTCACCAAACGGTCATGTTATGGATGGGTCCAGAAGAAAGTAGAAATGACAGTGCAGGCCAGCTGGAGTGTGGTAATGAACCTTTGTGATGAGCGTTGATGTCTAACCACTCCAGAATTCGGCTCTCCCATGTATGAAGTGCAGTTACAGTGATCCATGTCTTGTCTCAGTACTTATGTGCCCTTGACAGCCCGCCGTCTATCAGGACCCCCACTCTAAACAGAGTTTTAAGTGTCAAGCTGTACAACCAGAGCATCTTTAGGATATCCCACAGTGTGGGGGGGCACTGCATGGCTATGGACTGCATGCCAACCCTGACTCATTATGGTCAATTATGGCAGTGTGGGAGTCTGACTCACATATCTTCTAAACAGATGTCCTTGACAGAACTGATCATGGACTTCACACAAACACAGACACACAGGTACAGACACAGACACATACACTCCACTAGTGACATTTCCTTCTCATGTGCTCAATGTGAACAATGTAAAGTATATCTAGCTCTTGAAATGTTTTCCTAAACTGTCGCAGGGTCAGATCTCTAAAACCATGGGTGTGTGTCAGACAAAGAAGGCTCACCCCCAGCATGTGGCAGGTTATTAAACAGAACATCAAACAGAGACTAAATGGCTCAAGGGCCTTCCACACTGAGCTTCACAGAGATCCCATACACAGGGGAGTCAACCCATCTTGAAATACTTTGGAATACCTGTGTATGTGCAGAAAAATAAGGCTGTCCTGACTCATCATCACACAGGATAGTTCAGATCTCCACTGCCGCCATGTATCCCTCTTTGGTTAATTGTGACAAAGTGAGCAAAGTTCTCTCAAAGTCCCAGAAGGGTCTGAGGTGACCTTTGTGGATAATGTGTGAACCTTTGTTCTAGCCGACCAATGGACCGGAGTACCCAGCAGTAACTGACTTCATGCCCATAATTAGGTTCCCCCGAACTTCCCAGAAGGCCCCAGCCCTTGGGTTTCTGATGAGTTTCAGATGAGGAACCACAACACATTGCATTTTCCTGGGTGCAGAGCTCCAAAAGCCTCGACTTCACTAAAATCCTGATCAAGCATTCAGGAAACATGGAAATTTTTAGATCAAAGCTGTACCAAACAAAGTGCATTACCCACAGTGCCCCTGAAATCCACGCAACTCCTATTCAAGCACAGTAATACAGAGTTAGTGGTCTACCACTTGACTCTAATGAAAGGGAAAAAAGGAATTTTCTGGACTACAGCCACTCCATACTCCAGGGAAATTTCACCTATGATTCAAGGCCAGAATGGTAGCCAAAACTCAATGCCTTCCATCTCTGTTATATTTGATAATATTCATTAAAATAACTCACATCATTTAACTCCAACAACTGAACCATGCTGACAGTAATTACAGTGGTATTAACCTGTTGCCTGAGATGTATGTGTGAGGACAGATTGATGGAGGGATAAGCTTCAGTGCTTCCTTATAGTGTGACCTGTCCATCCAGTCACCCCCCTCCCCCACTATGCAGATTAGTACTTCTCCATGAAATAATCATTCACCATACTGGGAGAAGGACAGTTGCCTGGCCAGATCTGCATCTGCCACCAGCCAATGGGTATGGCTAAGGCCAAAATTCGGGAGAGGATATAACATCAGACAGGCCCCTAGAAGCAAGGACAGATCATCTCAAAAAAATGAGCAGACCTCAACCATGGAGATTTTACTAAGAATCCACAAGGAAAAAATCCATAAATATTTAAAATATTATTCATCAATGCAATAAATGCATACCTGAGTCCAGGGGCGTTGCTAGAGATTTTGGGCCCCATGAAAGCATATCATATTAGGCCCCCCAGTCCAAACCAATCCAGTTATTTTCCTAATTTTTTAGGGCCCCTGTCACTCAGGGGCCCTTGGAATCGTCCTAGCTTTCCTCCCCCTTACGGCGCCCCTGCCTGAGTCCAAAGTGTCTAAGTGTGAAATGGTTCAGTTCTGAGCAGTTCTATCATCACATCATCTGGTGTTCAGGCAGAACGCTGACTGAAAGCCCACCTTTGCTCCAGTTCATCATAACAAGGACAGGAGCTGCTCGTAATACCTAGCATGGCTGACAAGTTTTGCAAAACAAGGTAAGGACAGGCTAAGCCAGTCAGTGACACACACCGATTGTTAAAACACTCAGACTGGTTTTATGTACCAACAAGAGGGAAGCCCATGACCCATACAAGCATCTTCCAGCCATTTCTCTGGAACAGGATCATGGGAGGCAGAAGGGTGGACCCTATCTCAGACAGCACAAAACACAAAGCAAGCATAGATCAAGGACAGGATGCCTGTCCATCACAGGTGCACACACTCACACATTTACAGAAGTACCTTTTCATTTGACTGCATGTCAAACACCACAGGGAAAACATGCCAGCCCCACACAAACAGAGAGCAGAAGCGGGATTTGAACCCCCAGAACAGGAGGTGTACGGAAGCTGTACTGCACTAGGGATGACCCATAGTGTTCCCAAAACGGTACTGATTAGATCAGGAGAGCACCTGAAACATAAAATACGTTTGACAGAAGACAACAGTGAACACCCAGGTATCAGACAGCTTCAGGGTATTGATCTTGAGGTAGGGGCCTATACCTACAGGTCACGCTAATGTTTATGTTAAGAAAAACAGGGATCTAGAAAAGAACCTAGCATGGAGTAGAAGAAATCAGTTTGTGCGCCACACCATCTTTGGGAAAACAAGGCGGAGGAATTTGTGAGCTAATTTAATTGATGGAAAAATGACATGCAGATAATTATGGAATAATATGTTACTCACTGCAATATTCCATTAAAAAATGGTTGTAAAAACAGCTCACTGCTTCTGAACTTCTAACAACGAAAAGTAGAACAATAGATAACGACAGTCAGGGGGAACTTACGGCTGGGGACGGATGAGCTGTGGTGACTGCTTCACAGTGAGTGTCATCTGTGCCACGCTGCTGTGGGGGACCAGAGTATGGCCTTGGGTGTGACTCAGAGGGGATGCCTGCTGGGGGATGGGGTGCTGCAGTACCACACCATGCCCGTTGGGCCGGTCGTTTCCCGTCGTGGTCGGGTTGGATGATGCCGTGGTCTTCAGCTCGCAGGCCTTACCCTTGGAGCCTGGCTTACAGACACACAGCTGGGGCTGGAGGCACATTCCGCCATTCTGACACTGGGGTTGGCAAGTGGCTGCAACACAAAGCAAATGGTGGGGGGCGCACACACGCAGAAGCCCTCCTGTTATACAGCAGCATTACAAAGCCATCAGTCTCAACAGATTACAAAACAAGTACACCTAGCTCAAGTCAAGTCAAGTGGGGCTTTATTGTCACACCAACCATATTCAATACACTGCATACGGTGAGGTGAAATAACGTTCCTCATACTGCGCTGCTATATATATATTTAAAGTACGTGGATAGACAGGACAAGTCGGGGGGGGGCATCTTAACAACATTGAGCACAATGTAAAAGTAAAGACTAATGGAATGTTTAAAATGGCTAATGATGGAGCAGCAGAGTGGCGATTGGGAGTAATAATGAATAAATAAAAATAGATACAGAGATGGACAAATATGTTGGTACCCTTATAGCTTATTGATAGAATGCTTCATTTCTCCTGAAAAGTGATTCAATTAAAAGCAATTGTCTAATGTATACCTGCATGCCTTTAGTATGTGATAGAGTAAACCAATTAAATGGTGAAAAGAAATGATTTGATGTTTGTTTTACAAAGACATGCTAAAATGGTATGGAGAGATTTTTCGGTACCCCTAAAGAGACTACTTATCCTTGCATTATAGTCATGTTTAAAACTAAGTGTTTAACCTTAATTACTATCATAAGTGCCTTCAAGCTTTTCATCAGCCATTCGGCCTATTTTAAAGGTAAAGAATATGCTACTGTATTGTCTGGTATCATTGTGTGAACCACACTGAACATGGACCAGAGTAAGCAAAGGAGAGAGCTGTCTGAGGAGCTCAGAAAGAAGATTATAGATAACCATGTCAAAGGTAAAGGTTATAAGACCATCTCCAAGCAGCTTCATGTTCCTGTGACCACAGTTAAAATATTTTTAAAAAGTATAAGGTTCATGGGACTGTAGCCAGCCTCCCAGGATGTGGATGCAAGAGGAAATTCAACCCCAGGTTGATCAGAAGGATAGTGCAGATGGTAGAAAAAGAGCCAAGGAAATCATCCAAAACCATTCAAGCTGAGCTATAAGGTCAAGGTACGTTACTTTCTGATTACATCAACTGTCGCATTTTGAACAATAATGGATTCCATGGAAGAAGACCCAGGAGGGCTCCACTATTGACAGAAAAACACAAAAAAGCCAGAGTGGAATTCACCAAAATGCATGTTGACAAGCCCCACAGTTTCTGGGAGAATGTCCTTTGGACTGATGAGACAAAACTGGAGGTTTTTGGCCAATCACACCAGCTCTATATTTACAGAAAGAACAAAGAAGCTTTAAAAGAAAAGAGCACCTTGCAGAGCACAATGTTGTCTCAAGACTACCAAGGCATCCTGGTGCGAAACATCCTGCCCAATGTCAGAAAGGTCAGCCTCAGTCACAGGTCATGGGTCCTCCAAAAGAATAATGACCCAAAACATACAGCTAAAAGCACTCAAGAATGGCTGAGAAAAAACATTGGACTCTTCTTAAATGGCCATCCATGAGTCCAGATCATAATCCTACAGAACATCTATGGAATGATCTGAAAATTGCAATGTGGAGACGCCACCCTTCAAACTTGAGACAGCTTGAGCAGTTTGCTTAGGAAGAGTGGGCCAAACTACCTGTTGGTAAATGCAGGCATCTCATTGTGAAGTACAGAAATCACATCAATTTGTCCATGTCTATAAGTGGGAAAAGTGCAATAAAGGTGCAAAAAAAGGTGTACCTTCTGCCAGACGGAAGTGGGACATAGACTAAGGGAAGGGTGGGAGCCATCCTCCACAATTCTGGAGGCCTTACAAGTGCACCAGGGAAGAACTGGGGTGGGGGGGGGGGGTGAACAACCTTGGGTCCTGCACTCTAGGGGGCCTGCTGATCTTACTTTTTTTTTTTTTAAGCAACAAAACACATGCATTGATTGGACAATGAAACTAAAAAACCTGGGATTAGACCACAATAATTTATTAGTATGGAGTAGGCCAGAGTGATTTCGAGCCATTCCTCTTGCAGAACAGTGGCTGGTGGCACTGTTTCCTGATTAGCTCTTCCAAATATCCCAAAATGTCTCAATAATATTTAGATATGGTCACTGTGCAGGCCATGGGAGATATTCAGCTTCACTTTCATGTTCATCAAATCACTCTGTCATCAGTCTTGCTGTGTGTGTTGGTGCATTATCATCCAGATACATGGCACCACCTTCAGGGTACAATGTGGGTGAACACTGGGTGAATAGGAACCTCCAGAATGATTTGATAGTCCATTGCAGTAACACCCCCTTGTAGAACAAGTACTGGGCCTAGGGATTGACATGATATTGCAGCCCAAATCATCACTGATCCACCCCGTGCTGCAGTCTGGATACATAACAGTCTAGGTTGTAAGCCTCTTGGGGGCTTCTCTACACCCAAACTCTTCTGGACATGGATAAGACTTTGAAGGTAGACTCAATAGAGAACAATACATTTCACATTGTCCACAGTCCAAGATTTGCACAGCTGGCACCATTGAAATCGACTTTGGCATTGGCACAAGCAGGCCTGGAGTGGTTAATCGGGAGATTCAGGAGATTTCCCGGTGGGCCGCTTGACTTTTGGGCCGGTCGGAAATAAAATAATCCGATTTGACTCCTCACATTAGTGAATCTGAAACAGTAGCACGTAAGATCCACATTTACAGCTGACATCACAGCCTTTCTATAACGATAGATTACATGGGCGCTACCACCTGAGGGAGGTCTCCAGTTTAATGTAGTAAAATAGCATTTAGCGTAACATTATGGAAAAGAAGAGACCGGGGGGGCTGAAAAGGCCAGGCGAAGAAAAAAAAGAGCGTTGGAGGAGGATGCGGCCAAATGTGCCAAAATAAGAGATTTTTTCAAAAGAACAAAAAGAACTGGCAACAGGTAAATGTGGTTAACCTGTTGCAAAATATTAAAGCAATTCAAATATTAGCGTATTTCTATAGCTTATAATGACAAATCAATGTGTGCGCAGATGTAATTTTAAGAAAGAAAATGTATATAAAAAACCAAAGCACGATCTAAGTATTCAGTAAAATAACCATTTAACCTTTTTGTAGTTTCTGACCAGTGAGCATGCCAGGACGGCTAAGAGGGCAGGTATTATATATGAATTAAAGTTACTTAATTTAAGTCCACATACAGTGAACCCCCGCTATATGCCGGGTTTCCCCCCCGACGCATCACAGTTCTCTGCGTATCGCGTACTTTGCTTGTGGTCCGATTGCTGTGAGCAAATTTTTTGTGAACTTTTTAGTTTTGTTTTAAGCCCTACGATTTAAGGCTTAGAATATAAAAAGTGTTTATTTATATGGTATTTCTATATCGCGGATTTTCACCTATCACTTTTGAAGTGTGTGGGAGGGGTATTTTAAGGCTTAAACTATATTTAAAAAAAAAACTATATAAAAAATGTTTGTTTATATGGTCTTTGTATGTCACGGATCTGGAACGTAACTTCCGTGATAAGCGGGTGTCACTATTCGGAAGTTGATGAGATTTACATTTTAGATTTAGAGGTAAATTAAAAGACTAATAAAGTCGCATGTTTTTGTGCAGCATATTTCAGGCACAAACGTATTGTGTTGTATATGAAAAGATATTTTGACACTTTCAATCACTCAGATTGCCTGTGAGAAAAGCTTCTGTACCCTTAAATTTGTTAAGGACAGGTTATAAAGCTCGCTGACTCAGGAGCACTTGGAGGCCTTCATGCTAATGTGCACAGAGAAGGAAATCCTTATGTTGATAGATAATGAGACAGTAATAAACAAAGTTGCGGAGACCAGTACACTACTCAGGCAGCTGTTACCATTATAGATGGCTACTGTTATAGATATTATGTTGTTTAAGCCATTTACAGGTAAAATTTGTATAGTAGTGCAACATACCTCACATGTGAAGAACTTGTTTCTTTCATATTTGAATAAAAGCTAATAAAACCAGTGAATAATAAGAAGTGAAGTATTGCCTCATTTATCCAGTTCTCACTTTCCTGAAAAAAGTGGGCTGGTCATGGGCATGAAGCTCCTGGGCTGAAAAGTGGCTCCACTTCAGCCCTGACTTGCACTGAATTGGAAATATTTTAGAAAAATACACTGAATTATAAGGCTTTACAGAACAGTGCACTACTGTAGACTTAACAAAGGTTATAATTACATGATTTTAATAATAATAGGTTGTGATCTAAAGTGAAACTCCAGGGCTGAAAATGAGTCCCATTCCGGCCCTGGGCACAAGTGACCAAAGATTTGGTTATATCAGCCCAATCATGAATATTGACACTGTGGAGCTCCTGACAAACAGTCCAGGTGAAAACAGAAGAGTCAAGATGTGGCTAATGACAGAGCGGTTTATTGAACCACTCTCTTGATTTCCCATGGTTGGCGCAGTCACAAGATCTGAATATTATTGAGCAACTTTGGAGTGCTTTGGAGGAGTGAAACTGCTTCTTCTATTAAGGGTTACAGGGGGTCTGGAGCCTATCCCAGTTGCTACAGGTACAAGGCAGGGAACAAACCAGGATGCAGTGCCAACCCATCAGAGGGCACACTCACAAACCATTCACTCACTCAAACACACACACACATCTATGGGCAATTTGGAAACTCCAATTAGCCTCAGCATGTTTTGGATTGTGGGGAGGAAACCCCACAACAACACAGGGAGAACATGCAAACCCCACAAACATTCCAGCAAGGATTTGAACCCAGGTCCCAAAGGCAAAACATGATACCACTAACCACTGCACCACCATGCCAGCCTCATTGCTTAACCTGTGTATGTTATATTATTGTGTTCATTCATTCATTCATTTATAATTATTATTATCATCTCAACAGGCACTAGACCAAGATTAACCTAGGAATAAAGACATATGCCTGTCAATTTCTTGTCATAACATCACAGAGATGTTTACTTATTTTTATGCACATGTACTCTGTTATGACAAGAAATTACTGTGCATTTTAACCTTTATACCACAAATGAAGTTGGAATTAGCCGCATAAATGTTAAAATGCACTGTAATTTTGCCACACATATTGCTTCATGTGGCCAATGCGTACTTGGGTACCAGTAACGTGCATCCATGTATAAGTACATACAATACATATACATATACATATACATATACATATACATATACATGCAGACGCACAGTCTATGTATTCATGTTTATGGAGACTTTCCATTCATTTCTATGTTACAGGTTTTCACCACATTGTGGGGAACTCTGGTCCCCACAATGTAATAATTACAAACACAAACATAATATATACATAAACCACATATACATACACAAACACTTCTTTCTTCTTAAATTCATGCTCACAGCAAAGGGAAACATCCAGGTGAATCTGACAGAAGATTCCTGACTACATAGTTTCCCCCACACCTTGGTACATGTCTACTAGAGAAGAGATCTGCTCTGGGATAAGGACACTGGAAGAATAAATCCCCTTTGTAGCTTTATTGCTTGGGGAGCTATAAAGTGTGCGGGTGAAGGAAGCACAAAGACTTAACCCCACCCACCCCATTCTCCACATAGCACATGATCACCAGAGAATGGTGTGGTTGGGGTAGCCTGGTAGGCCATCTTCTAATGTTGAATACGCACTGGGCACCAGTAATGAGATCTTTCATGGAGCCACCTTCTCTTTCACCTCCCCCATACTGAGGGTCCACTGAAATATAGCTCACTGGGCCACATCTGCATCATTATTATTTTATCATTAAGCATTTAATACTAATATACACAATAAAAAAATTAAAAATCAGGCAAAGCAAAACTTATCCGAACCTACAAAATACACAGACTTTTAATCAGATGCACATTAGCATGAGCCTTTTGTGGCTCTCAACTATTACTTCTCTATAACTGGGCTCATCAAAGCTGACTTTGGCTAATATCAGTTTCTCTCCAAAGTGAATATAAGCATGCACTGCTGACTTCGGCGTTTGACAGGATCAGTCTGTGCTTTTGTCTACAGAAGACTTAACCGCCCAGGAAAACAGAATCCTGGGTGTTGACTGTCTTTCTTTTCTCGAAAGCAAAACAAAATGTCTGCGGTACAACAGCACACAGCGCAGAATGAATGTTCCACTAGGTGAACTATAAACAGAGAGAGGCAGAAGGAATCCTGCTTTTATACAGCCATCTGCCTTGTGACACTCAATGTCCCATCAATGGAACAATCCTCAGAGGTGACAGGTTGCACAGATGCTGCCTCTCTCTTCCTTTCCTTTCTACATTAATTCCCAGCTTTTTATGTTTAAAATCATCCTGCTTTGTAGATGGCAAACAGAAATTCAGGAAGCCAAACACTGAGATCCACCTGTCATTTCTTATTACATAGACTCAATATTATTCCTGGCAAGTTGGAAGACAAAAGGACAGCTTGAGGGGAAAGAGAGCCCTTACTGATAGAAAGTGTAGATGTGGAGGGCCAAGGTATGAGGAGGGTATGAGGAGGGTATGAGGAGAGCCCAGGAGGAGGTGACACACTCAAGTTCCAGGACCCAACTTGAAAAAGACAATCAGAAGCCTCAAAATGCCAGCGGAACCACATTTCTGAAGCTCTTCAATTCTACTGAACTCATCTGAAATCCTCAAATCCATGCATGTCATTCACACTCAGAGTACTGTGTCACAAGCACATTCTGTTTACAATCCATTTGTCCCTTGGAGCCGGTCCAGGTTACAGGTCAGTGTGAGTCTGTCCTTATAGAGGCTTACTATGGTGGCAGACTTGATCTCCTCACTTCCACCGATTATTGCCCAGGCCCCAAGGGGGATGGAGTGGTACAGGGCAGCCTTTGGGTCAGACCCAGCATAAACTCCTGCTTGTTATAGATCTCATCCAGCAAACTCCTTGCGGGACTGCCAGCAGAGACCAATGCATGTAATCATGCACCACATTTATCAAACACACTCTGAACAGTGCCAGAACAAACAGAATTTATTTCTATTAAGGAATAAATTGTTTCTGGGATGCAAGGGTGGGAGTGTATGCTGGTGTATGTCTAAATGGAGGCATCACTAAACCTTTTTCAAATGCTTTACAACCCAGTCACTCATTCACAAGCAGAGCACAGCAAGGTAGCTGAAGACCACCTGTGTGGAAAGATGACAGAGACGTCAAAGAAAACCACTTATCTCATGCAGGAAATTATATATCATCTGCTGGTATTGTTCTTTTGTACAGCAACATGCTTTCTTGTTGGTGAATCCTGTGCCGAAAGCTGAAGTGCCTCAGTGTGCCAACACTGAACAGGACAGCCAAAGTCTTAATGGAGCCTATGACATGGTAAAACCATGAACAGGATGGTTAGCTCTGGATTGTTAAACTTTTGGCAAGATTGTGTGATTAACTGGCATTCAGTGAATAACAACAATATTTGTAAGCAGCACACTGGGTTGTACTGGTCTTGAAGATTATTCCCAAGAAGAGAAGGCTGTCCAGACTGTAGACAGCAGATGTGTATTCTTCCACTGTCCATTGAGGTCAAGCTGTGAACTCCAGTTTACCTTTGTCCCCTACTTGATCTGTGGTGCAAATAACTAGATGGTTGGTCGGGGGAGGGAGTCACTTTCCTGGGGAGTAACCATCATGTTGTCTCTTCTTGCTGTCCATTTACTCTGTCAGCTTCTGCCACCTGCACACCTGCCAGCAGATGAAGGCTTGTCTGTCCCCTGGCGCCTGGCCATAACCCCCTCAATGACCCTCCCAGAGAGATTGTGGGAAAACCATGCCGGACAATGTGTGAGAGAAAAAAAAAAATGAAAGCACCCCCCACGCAGACATGTGGCATGCACAATCATGTGTGACCAAGAAGAAAGGTCAGAGTAACAGCACCAAACATCCCACTGTAGACAGCAAGCTGGGGAAAAGGTCACCAGCCACGTTTGGACTGTTTAATATGCAAGGCAGACAGAAAGACATGAGCAGGGGGCCTATGCCATTTGACACAAGGAGCCTCCCGTTTCCTATGCAGTGAGGTGTTCTGGTGAGTGAGGGCAAGCAGTGGCTGCCAGCAGACCAAACGGGTGCATACTTGGGCCAGCTGTGAGACTATACAGTACCAGCGTTCACAAGGGCCACACGCACCCCATCCTGGGAAGCTGTCATTGTTTCACAGGTGTCTATGGTTATTTATAGACCGGCACAAAACCAGCCTGTTCTCATGCCTACCGGGCCTTATACCCACTTTATAAACCACGTGTGCTACAGCACCCCATCCCCTAGCTACTGGTCAAAGCAGCACTACCCCACTGTAAGTTTCCTGACCAGAAGGGGTGGTGGGGGCCAACACACACGCTGTCGGCTCTCCGATCATGTTTCCACTACCCCCTGCATGACACTGGGTGTCTGTAGCTGATAACATGAACTACGGTGTGCCTCTTTCAGGGTGACGATACTGCAAATGATAGTACAAAGCAGATCCGTGGAAATATGCACATAACAGGGTAGCTGGGACTCCATCCGACACATTCAGTATACAAACACTGGGAAACCTCACAATTGATCTTTATTGTTAGTAGGTTTTTTTTTCTTTTTGAAGGAGCTACTGGATATCCGAATTTCCCCTTTGGGGATAAATAATAAAGTATCTATCTATCTATCTCTCTATCTATCTATCTATCAATCTATACCACACAAATGGCCTGCTATTACTGCTCTTCATGAACCCTGTCTCAAGGGAAGTATCATAACCTGCTGGAGAATACATCAGCCTACCGGAGTAACTTAAAGGGTTACAGGTGAGACAGTTCAGCCAGAAACTAGATCTCCACCTTCAGAGACCTGTGACTAGGCCTGTGACTGGAGCAATACTCCTTAAGGAGATGCCCACATGGTCTGCAGTGTATGCAGACACATGGCTGCTCGCACCAATGGGAGCACGCCCGCAGTGCGATGCCAAGCCCCCTTGTGCAGAGGCTGCCAGCCCACCAGTCTAGCCTTCCCCGTGCCATGTGGCTCCACGCAACTTGCATACTCACGTTTTGTACACCTCTGTGATCCGGGAGCCCTGCTCCATCCATGACAGCACTGACCACCACAGATGTTAATCCTGCAACAGCACCCAGAAAAAACTTCACGCATACAGACACAGGCTCAGGGTGTGCCCTGGGAAAAACTGTCTGATTTTCAATATAAATTCTGTAAGCTTAGGACGTCCCAACTGAAAACTAAATAAAAATTAGCATTTAGGCTACCATCAAAACTACATAAGTCGGATACAGAACACGTGGGCTGCAGATGTCTCCCATATTAAGTTGTTGCAAAGGCAGTATTTGTTGTAATTTGCGATCTACAAAACAATGATTTTCCCCCATTGACTAATAATAACGGTTGCCGGCATAATAATTATAGACGTTTCTCTAATAATTATCTTCCCTTATTTTTCATATCAGGATAAAGATCTCTTTGTCTTCTTGGTTTCATGTGAGCGTTTTACCCACCTGATTATTGTCTTAAGTACTTTGCGCAAAAGTATTGAATAATCAGTTTTGCGGCTGAGGATGGAAATGCAGACGCAAGCGTATAACCCCAGTTACCTACAAAGTGACAGCAGCACACGCTACATCTCCTTACCCTGATATTTTAATTTGGTGCGCCGTCTGCTGCTGTTGATGTTGCTGCATGAACTTGGAATCCTGGCGGAGAGGCAGATTTGGGTTCGCCTGGCTGCCCATCCTGCGACTGCGGACCTGGCCGCCGATGCTGGCAGTCAGCTCCACGTTGTAGGAGCGGGGCTGCGCTGCGGAGCCGGCCCGGGAAGAGAGTGTCCCGGACATGCCGGGCTGCAGGACGTAGTATCTCCTGAACCCGCTCTGCTCCGGGGACGCGAATGCCGGCAAGACAAATACCCACACCGGGAGCAAAATGTCCCATCTCAGCCAAGCCATACTCACTCCGTATCGGGACGCACCGAACTTTTTAATAGTAAAAAAAAAAAAAAAACAAAGCTTTAAAATGCGTCCCTTGCAGAAATTCCAGATGTTTGCTTCCACTTTCTATATCCGAAAACTGGGGGGGGAAAAACTATTCTACAGCAAGAGATAAGTGATTTAAAGCTTCTACCCTGAGTCCATGCATTTACCCAGCGCTTCTAAAACACACACAGGAAATTTTAAATTCAAAGTAGTAAAATAGCAAGGCTTCCGCGAAACGAACCTAAAACGGAATAAAGCGCGGCCGGACGGCGAAACGGGGCAAAGGGGGAGCCAAGCGGCAGATGTGCGCGACGCTGCCGGCCGCAAACGGGATCAGGGAGTTTTTTAAAAGTTTCACTGTGTAAGGACAGGAGTCAGAGCCGGAGTCAGAGCCGAGCAGATGTGACGTCAGGAGGGGGAAGCTCTCCCCGGGACGGACCCTAAAGCTTTCGCTTTGGGGTCTTTAAAAGGATCCTACACGCTATGTGTCTGGGAACTCAAATAAATTCCTTTTGTACCGAGTCATTTCACTTTTTTAATTACTGAACAATTAGGCAATGTTTTATGATTCCACACTTTAAATGAAATTATTTCCAGTGGTCCATTTTCCCCTCTATATACAGCAGAAATTACAAGTGGACATTTATTTCGTGACTCTATATTGTAAACTACTGTTTTTGTGTAATTATTATTTCACGCACATACCATTCTGGTCCAAGGGTCAAATTACTTAACAACCGTTTCCATTTGCGATTCACTCAAATGCAAAGACGCATCATAGTATACAATATTTATAAGCACTCTCTGCATGCATCACTCCTGTAACAGTTGCTGCTTACAGCATGACAGTGTCACCCTCAAAACGCACTGTACTGAGGTCTCGACCTAACCCAGCCAGGTTTTTGATTTCACTCGCCATGCATGTACGGATTCAGTTACCATTAGGCTCTTGTCAAAAATGTCTCAGCAGTGACTTATCAAGCTCCCTGTGTCCTGGTAAGCAGACTGATTTGGATCTGAGCTCTAATGTCCCTCAGGAGAAACGTGACTCCCAGGGGAGCAGGTTGCGGTCTTTGTGGAGCTGTAATGTTTCCATGCAGAGGGCTCCCTTCACATGGAGTCGAATGCACAATAGTGTCAGAGGGTTATTTATAAGCCGGGCCATGCGTTCCCACCCCTAGCACACACACAAAGAGCAGAAGTTACTTTCGACAGCATGCAGTGACAGTAATTAGATCACTGGGGCACCATGGGAGAAGCGAGTCCAATGGTAAAGGTAAGGGTGACATCATAGACCATTTGATACCAGGTTGTAATGTGGTTAAATGGTTGACGAATCAGTCGAGGTGTAGCTAAAGGGAGACAGTTCACTAGGGGATGAAAACATCACATCACTCATCTTCAAGGAAAGTGATGCAGAGAAGGATTCTGACCTTTGATGGGTTACCCTACTTGGCTGGACACAAACCAAAGCAGCTATGGGGTATGGAGCCACAGTCATGTCCTTTGACCTCATTTTGATGGTAGGATCTCCAATTGAGCCCTCAGACAGACGTGGCAGGCGTTTAATGTGAAAGACTGCAAATAGTCTGAAAAGCACTGCTATGCTCGCTAAACATGGCTGTATTCATCATAAAACTTTGACAAGCTAAGCAATAATCACTCACAGGGAGCTTATAAAGTGGTTATATGGTCTCCTCAGAAACCATGACAAAACAAGAAAGGGGAGTAAGGTTTTCTGAAGCTGTTCAGTTACAGTTTTAGGGACATGAAGGCTTCCTTGAAGCTGGACTTCAATGCAGAAGCCAAAACTAAGACTCACATGCCGATAGAGCTTCTCCTGTTCAGGTGCTTTCAAAGCTTACGGGAACAGACATGTGGGACCATTATAAGAATTGTCCAGAGCCCGCCTTCTCGAAAAGACCTGCATAATAGTGCAGGAATGTTTTGACTTCTTGATTCAAACACAGAGAGCAAATAGGTGCTTTGGGGTTGGTGGAGGGAGGTTAATGACTCATTTGAAGCATGTCAGTGTGTGGAATGATTCATCAGCACTGCATTCAATACTGAGGGCATATGAGGGAGAAAGGGCTCAAAGAAGAGCACAGAGGCACTAGGATCAAATGAAGATCCGAACACCGAAAACACTAGGACAACCCACAGAGGGTTCACACAGATTCCATGAGACCATGCATGTGCAAGAAGACACCAATATCTGGACATCTGAATACAGGAAACTGTGAGGGTGGATGGAGCATTTACACCTGTGAGAGTTCTGGTCTAGACAGCCGTTTCCTGGAATGGTTCCCAGTGCTTTTAACAATTACCTGATGCAATTCTTCAGGGAAGCAGCAACAAAATGCGTATGATCACAGTCACAGTCAACCACCGATTCATGGAAATCATGGAATTCATGTAAAAAAAAAAGACCAAACATAGTCCTATGTCGTGTTTCACAGGAGGGCCTCAAAGCACCTAACCCAGCAGCCAAAACAGTTAATGTTTGTTTGCACCAACCTCGCTCACACACACTGACATTCCTGAGGTTATCATGATGACATCCTTGTAAATCTCAGCTGCAACTGAAATGTGCTGGTTGAATCCTTGCCGGAGAATGATTTCCCCTGATTGGCACGTGATTACATCACATCTGATCTGGGATTCATAGCCTAGGAGCTGTGAAGCGCTACTACCCTGCATTGCACCCTGCTACTGCAACCATAAGGGTCATTTTGGGCAAAGACCAAACAACTCAGGTAGTATGTTTCATTTATGCATCAGTCAAAGAAACATGAAGGAAGATGTTGCTATTATTAGATCAGTCCTTGCTGGTTCGTCTACAGGGGAGATTATTATAAAAGATAAAGATGTAGGTTGCTGCAAGGTACAACTGCAAAAACGTGTACGATGTCAAAAATGACAAGTCAATTGTGCTTCCCACAGATGTTGTTCAGAGAAATATGATGCTCTTTAAGAAAACGTCATCATTTTTGACCAATACCACAAACTGTGCTCAGAAAAGCATCCAGTGGAATTTAATTAATGATGCTTTATTGATCCTTGTAGGGAAACTCTCTTTACGCCTTCTCCAACTTGCTCTCTGTAGGTGAATGCAAGCTGCCTGCAAAGTGTAGCCACCCATAGCAAAGCCCAGGGAGCTGGGGGTTAAGAACCTTGCTAAAAGAGCCACAGATGTGCCAAGGTTGGGGTTGAACCAGCAACCTTCCGATCACAGGTAAACAGGCTTAGCCCACTGAGCCACACGCTGCCCCTGAGCAGCATTAAAACTCCATGACTCTGTCGTAAAAGTGGTCATCCCACCAGACTTTAAATCAAAGTGACCTTTGGCAGCCTTCGGCCGGAAACATCCTTTTGTGGAAGCAGACAGCCACTCGCCATTCCCTCGAGTGAGAGATGAAGCCAGGGCCACCGGAAAAAGGATGTGGAGTCAGGGAAAATTCCAGAACCTTCCACCAAGCCATCTACTCAACCAGATGGATAACCTTGTTTTTAAAGAGTGTGTGTGGTGGGGGGGGGGGGGGGGTTGGGCAGTGGGACCATCTGACCATGTGTCATTCATTGTCAGCTGAAGAACAGATGAAGCCCATGAAAACTCGCATCACACTCCATTAGAGTGAGTGATAATGTGTAAACAACACAACAAAGAATTTGTCACAAATGTTAAAAAGGCCTATCTATGGATATTAAAATAAAATAATAATAGTAATAAATAATGATAATATACATTTACTTACTTTTTTATATACTTTTTTATTTGCCCAAATCTCAGTCACCAGTTTGTCTTCTTTGGATCAATGAGAACCTAAATTTATGTTGTGCACAAACAAGCTTGTTTTCAGATCATCGAACAGCACATCGATCGTACACTTGTTTTCCATCAGCCAGCACAGCCACCCTGCCGTCAGAAAGACTGGCAGCTATTCTGGTGCAATTAGAGGTGTGCCTTTAAGCCATCGATCACAGGGCTCAGTCAAACTTTCAAAAGAGTCTGGATATATCACGAGCCTCTGTCAGATTCTTCGAAGCTGGCTACCCCGGACAGGGGGCACTGACACGGCCCCTCACAAGTTACGCAGCTGGGCAGACAAGTCCTGCAGCTCCGTGACAAGCTGCTCCAGAATTCTGATGTCCTCGGCCAGGTCTTCGTGGATCTCACCTGTGGCTACATCCGTGTGCGCCTGCTTTAGAAACAGAAGCAGGAGTCACATAGCACTAGTCATGAACACAGTACCTCTACACTAACTACACATACAGTACTTGCATCCAAGATACCTTGGCTTTGGTGGTCAGGCTGCGCAGGGTGAGCCGAGCAGATGAAAGGATCTGCAGTGCCTCCTGGGGGTTAGTCTTAGCTCTGCTGCAACTGATGGACACTAGGGAGACAGGGGGCCAGAGAGTAGGTCAGAGGTCAAGTCGCTGCAATCCTGTAACGAAGCCACGGCATGTGTAGGTGAGGCTCATACACAGAAAGCTAAAGCAACCACGGGGGATGTAACATGCTGCTGACGCAGCGCCTCAGCCAGAGGGTGCAGGTGGACGGACCTTCCAGTTTCTTCCGTGGCTCCTACACCGCATCAGCAGGGAAAGCTCAAGACACTGATTTATGATTGCTAGCTTCACAGCATAAATCGAGGTGTTTGGTGCTTGGAGGGGGATGAATATATGTTTAGATAAATCAACAAACCTTTATGTGTTTCTGCACTGCTGTGCAGGACCAGTGTCAATGGGGGGGGGAATCAGTTGCAGGGTTTGTACAAAGTTTGTGAAAATGAGGCTGGCAGTCCCTGTGCCCCCAGCGTTGGGGGAGGGGCATCAATATAGCTGCACGGTGAATGACAGGCAACAGGCACATAGCCGATCAGGAGACTCACCCATTGCCAGCTGCTCCGCCTCCCTCATCAGCTCCCGCAGGCTGCCCCTATCCTTCTCCCAACCACTGGCCTGAGTGCTGCAACGATGAGCCTTCGAGAGGAACTGCAGGGCCTGGGGGACACACATGCACATATCAAATTACTGTTTAACTCACACAACAGCAGCAAAATGACCAGGAGTCCCCAGTTGTAAAACAAAACAGCATTGATGCACGGAAGTGGGCAGCTTCTGGACCGTATACCCCCCCATCAGATCCACGGTTAAGTCTTTATGACTTCATCAAGACCGCATTAACTATTTGCTCTGAGGAACCCATCCATCATTTTCAGCCAAGTGGCTTGGCATTAATCTATGCTGTTAGTTACAGCCAAATATCAATTATTAATGATCCTACAAAGCACTCATTAATACTGCTCCTGCTCAGCATTCCCCCACTACCCACAGACTCAGACATA